CCGGTATGCACCGACGTCTCGACCTTCAACGCGTCTACCTGACGCTCAGCCTGGGTTAAGTGAGAGCGAAGCTCATGATTCGCCTCTACCTACTCTCGACCCTGTTGTTCCATACCAAATTCAGATTCCGGATGAAGGGGCCGCATTGAGCGCTGCGTTGCCTTCGTTAGCGGCTACACCAAGCTCGGAGGCAGCAGCACCAAGCTTAGCATCAACTCCGAACGTCCTCGTCACGGTGTTGGGCACTGCCACGGACAGTGAGAGCAACTCGGCTTCATTGCTATCTACTGTACCACGTACAGCAACCTCAGCCTCATCTACGGCAACGACAAGGCCGCGCTCGGCCGAGAGAGAAGGTAGAACGAAGATATATTGTATGTGATACGAGTACACACGAGCAAACGCTACTGGTGTGAAGATAACCTACAGGCGCAGCTATTATCGGAAGCCAAAGCTTTGCCCAGCGCAACTGGTGTTTTATGCGGAGACGATGACCTACGATTTTGCCAACATGATTCATCATACATGCCGAAACGACTTTGCAAGTGGCCGTGCTGCAGCCGTAAGTGATAAATCCGTTTGCCTTGACCTGACAGATGAAATGAAGAGCTTCGTGGACGAACTAGTGGACACAACAGACGAGTCGCCTACCAAGATTTGGGAGCTTACATACCGAAAATTTTACGAGAACTCTGTGGGCGTTATCCGTGGTCTTAATAAAAAGCAGATTGTTACACGAATTAACAATGGCCGCGCTGCTCAGAACGGCAAGGACCTATTTTCTATGATCGAGTCGCCAAGTATGGCCAAAGTGAAGAACGAGGAGCTGGGTTTTCTCCAGTTAAACTGTACATGGCTAGATGACACAAAGATCAAGCAAGAAAAGTCGGAGATTGACCGACTGATTGGGTGGGCCCACCCCGAACCACGGAATCTCCTTCGCTACGAAGGCGAAGACTTGTTTGTTGATGGCACATTTCGTAGTGCACCAAAGGGATATCACCAAGTTGTCACGTTGATGATGTACGGCCCGCTGACCGAGTTGTTCGTTCCGCTATTTTTCACTTTGACGACCTCTAAAACCCAGAACTCCTACTAAAAATTCTTTTACTGTGTCAAATTTGCAGTTGGAAAAAAGCCCAGTCCCAATGATATAGTGAGCGACTTCGAAGCTGCCATCATATTTGCTATCCGAGAACATTTCCCAAAGACAAAGATCATTGTATGTTTGTTCCATTTTAAGCAGGCATGCAGAAGGAAAATGAAGGCTTACCGGTTGCCTGACGATGAAGCCGAAATTGCAATGGCCTTTGGAGTTCTAGACATGCTAACAGTGGTAAATCCGGATAAGATCAGCGTACGAGGGGTGGCGTGGGTCAAGGCCAAAATTAAACAGCGCTGTGGAGCTAAAGGCGTGCCTTACTCTCGTGAAAAGTGGCGTCAGTTCTGGCAGAACTTTGAGAGGACATGGCTCGAGCAATATCCTCCTGAGTTATGGAATATTTTCAATGTCGAGAGGAAAATAGTCAATCAAACCAATAACCCACTCGAGCGATTTCATCGGGAGGTTAATGCTCGTCTCAAGCGGCAGCCATCGCTCAAACGGTTCGTCAAAACAATTGAGGAAATTGCACAGCACTATGTTATTCTCCGCAGAGGAATCATTTCCGGTGTTGCACAAGCACCAGCGAGATCTACAATGCGGTTTCCAAGAGCCGCAAAACTACCGGAGATTGATGATATTGAAGAATCAGACAGTGAAAATGAAGACGCTGCTGGAGCTGACTCCAATAACAGCGACCACATTGAGGCTGCGTTATCATCTGACGAAGACCTGGAGCTTCTGTACGACACCTCGTTCGAGAATGAGGAGGCGACTGACAACTAAAAAGGCTCTTTTAGCATTCTTGACGCACTCAGTTGGCTGAATGCCGCTTCGAATGACATTTCCATACTGCCGGACCAATTCGCTTAATACACTTCTACTTTCTTTTCTACCTAAGATCGAAGATTGCATCAAATATCGTGTGCGTGAACATGATTGTTTGGTCACGGGAACTAATTGATTATTTTACCCGTGACCAAAATCGTTTCTGACCTGTAATAAAGGCTATCAAACTCATGCTTTTCACTACTTGTTAGAGCTTCCACTACAGTAATACGCTAATTTGTAGCCGAGTGGCTCAAACTTCAGTGTGATCATCGACTTCCAGTGATAGATTCACATCTCAGGAGAGCTGGAACATATTTGATTGGTAGCATCCAATTCCTTTCCTTTTAGTCCTTGGTGCATCCTTCCGTTGCGTTGGACCCGCAAAGTACAGATCTCAACACTTTCAGATAAGAAACTCACAACTGAAATGGTAGAGCGAGTAACAACAGCAATAGATATGCCAACTACACAGAACTTGTTGGTGATGTCGCCGGCACAATTCTACTCTTCATTAGCATGTTCCACTTTCTTCTTGACAATGGCGATTGTATGATCTACGTAGACTATCTCTGGTTTCGCTATTTTTACTCAAAGTCTTGAATGGAAGTTCGATTGCAGGAAATATCTAAGCCATGCCCAATTAATTGAATTTGCTCACAAGCCTAGCAGGGCCCCACTTCTGTACGTAGATTGAAGCCGACAAAAACGTGAGCTGTTCGTTTGGCTTGGCAAAGGATTCTTATTCCTGAACATCAACTATTGGTAAAATTATAAGTCATTTAGTAATCAGATATCCTTGCTTGTGTACCAGGGCTCACTATTGTCTCAAACATAGCTAAAGCGCCTCAATGTGTAACGGGGTACA